TCACTTCACTAAATTACAAGATGAGAATTTCACCATCTCGTTTCGATCTTCAGTGTCAACAATAACAAATTGCGATGGCTGATCCCACTGCGCTATCAGCTGCATGCGCATGTATGTGTGCCATTCATTTTGGTCATCTTCATCAGCCGTCGAGAACTGTCAGTGGACGGGGCGTTCACGGTATTCGCGTTGGTATTACCAACAATCAATACGAAACTAACGATTTTTAATTGGCTCACCACTTTAGTAGCCTATTGGTCCCAAGCAAACGATTAACGTACCCTATTCTAGTTGAAATTCTATTACTACACTATGTTTGTTTTGATTCGCTATGAAAGTTTGACAGATAACATCAGGGGTGTGTGGATTCATGCAGAACATGCAGGGGTGAGTGAAATAGCTTGGGACTGCTTGGGACCGTTGTTCTGGTACTGAGTGAGCCAAAAATAATAATGATTTTCTTCGGGACCCAGTAGTCTTAGAGTTACCTCTATGGCTCAACTAAGTAATGATTTTCCCGGTACTCCTGGAATCCTCTTAGTAACTGGGCTGAGCGGCTGTATCAAAATTCCCAGTCGCTACATCGAATGGCTTTCACCTATTGGTTTCCTCCATCTGCTTCAACTTTTTCGACAGCATTATATTGCTCGACAAAGGATTCCATACCTCGTTCCATACTACACGAGTTCGGAAGTATGCGGACATCTTTTTCCGAGCAATAAAAGTCCGGATTGGGACACTTTTCGCGATAATAACATAGAGGTAACTCTAAGACAAGTAGGTCCCGAAGAAACGTGCTCAACTTTTTGGCTCACCTCTGGTACTATCTTCGGTCCCAAGCTTGTCGAATCACCCCTCGAAACATAGGAAAAACCAATAACCCCTCATTTTATCTGTCAAACTTTCATAGCGAATCAAAACAAACATTTCGTAGTACTAGAATTTCGACTAGAATAGGGTACGTTAATCGTTTGCTTGGGACCAATAGGCTACTAAAGTGGTGAGCCAATTTAAAATCGTTAGTTTCGTATTGATTGTTGATAATAATCTCTTATTAACAAATAGTTGAAAATTTTGCCATTTTCACCACCTGCTTTTCTACACTCACGTTATTATTAACCTACCCAGGAATGAGTAGAAATCTCTTCACGAAGTAGGTGTTTTGACAGTTCAACTATATTCGATTTGAAAATTTGCACTTTTAAAACTACAAGTTAAAATCAAAACATTTACTTTTGGTTTGAAAAAAACCTTGGTGTATTAAATATTTTCATAGTTAGTACAACAAATTTTTGAATACTTTTAAATTGAAAGTACAATATTTTTACTAAAACAATTTTCGTTTTTTGTGTGTAGGAAAAACGAATAACCCCTCATTTCATCTGTCAAACTTTCATAGCCAATCAAAACAAACATTGCGTAGTACTAGAATTTTGACTAGAATGGGATACGTTAATCGTCCCAAGCAAACGATTAACGTATCCCATTCTAGTCGAAATTCTAGTACTACGCAATGTTTGTTTTGATTCGCTATGAAAGTTTGACAGATAACATGAGGGGTTATTGGTTTTTCCTATGTTTCGAGGGGTGAATCGATTAGCTTGGGACCGAAGAGAGTACCAGAGCTGAGCCAAAAAGTTGAGCACGTTATTTCGGGACCTTCTAGTCTTAGAGTTACCTCTATGGTATTACCATAGAGGTAACTCTAAGACAAGTACACAGCAAAAAAAAAATGTAATATCGATCAAGCTGATGTATGAAATAATTATGTAATAGCAAAAAGCAGATACAATATTACATCAATGGATGTTATTTTGTTCGCAAAATTGATGTACATCGTACAACGCATAACCGATGGATTGACCTGGTTGCAGCAGTTTTGATGTAATGTTCAACAACTTTTTTTGCTGTGTAGGTCCCGAAGAAACGTGCTCAACTTTTTGTACTATCTTTGGTCCCAAGCTAATCGATTCACTCGCTGGTAAATGTGTTGGGAATAAGTGACGTGAATACTACACTAGCAACACTAGCCCAGCGGTACACGGGAAACTTACATCATGAGATCCGGATACCATTGAAAACGACAATAATTTTTTTTTTAATTTTCATATGAGAGATATAGTCCAGTTATCGTAATATCTGATTTTTCCGAACAAAATTAACTAAATTAAAACTGCTTCCACCAGGCGACAAAAAAAAATCCAAAATGCATATGGCGCACGCGTGATTTTTCATCCAAATCCAAGTGCAATCGCTACACTTGATTTTGGATACATTCATAGTGCGGAAAATCAAACAACTCAAAATCGAGATGAAAAGTTCGCAAAAATAAGAACTCTCTCAAGACTACTGTTTGAATACAATTAACGAAGACTGAGAGTTATTGTTGTACTTCAAGATTAAGTTTAAAGTACTCATCAATGAAAACAAAATTGTATCCAAAACAGTAGTGCTACACGCTAACTTCAAATTACCCATTAAATGAGTATCTTGTACTCATTTTGTGTATTCATTCCGAGCTGTCAAAAAAGGGGTATTTTCATAAAATGAAAAGCGGATAATTTTGATTCATTTTTGATATTGGCTTCTTGTAGTTAAAATGGGTAACATTTTCAAAGAGCAGAAGCTAGAAGCATGCTCAGTGCGGAAGTGAAACTTTCAACCCGAAAAACTGGAAGGTAAGAATATTTTTCGTTTATTTTTATTTTTCTGCAATTCATATGATGCTCTTTGTTCGTTACAGGCTATCCTAATTTGTCATCTCTAGAAAGCTGTACGAGATGATTTTGCAGGATTTCATGCCAATATACAACAGTAAGCCAAAGTACCAGGAGGAGAAAAGGACGCAAAAGTTACCGATTCAAAAATCCTTTTATAATTTCCAGCTTAGCACAAGCGGTAGACTTTTTTTTAATGCTTTTGAGTGTTGAATGTGCCCTCGAATGTGCCATTGTTTCATCATTCAAATAAATAAAGTGTTTTGTTGATCTTAAGTGGACCTCTGACGTATTTATTATTGTTAGTTATGAGCCCTATGAAGTAATTAAAATAATGGGTACTTTTTATTCATTGCCAAAAAACACGAAGGATAAAAAATACCCATTTTATGAAGTACTAGTCGAATACTCATTAATGAGTAAACTCGGTTTTACTCATTTCATGAGTTAAGCCACTTTTCTTCGAAATGGGTAAAATTTTACTCTTTAATGAGTACTTTGAAGTTAGCGTGTAGAGAAGTACTTATTATTAAGTACTTTCATCTCGATTTTGAGTTATTTCGTCTTTCCGTGTATGATGTATATATACACGGTAAGAAAAAAGTACCCAACAGAAAGTTCACTTTTACCTACTTTTGACTAGTTTGTCACCACCCAACAGGGGTAGTAAAGTGTGGGAACCCAACGTTGAGTATAATCATATTTACCTTTTGTTGGGTACAACTAACTTACTTTTGGTTAAAAAGCCAGTGGAAAATTCCATACAAACTGCACACAAGTAAATGAAAATTACTTTGACCGCTTTACCTACTTTTGGGTTCCTGCACTATAGAGATTGCTGACGTTTTTCGTACGCACACTATGTCACGTATACGTATACGCAAAATGTTATCATCGGGAAAAAAAAACTTCATAGCGTAAAATTTTCCCGATGAAAACAAATCACTGACACAATCACACTTTAGCAATCGCTATTGGAAGATTGCCGCAAAAGCTCAACGCAGATGTCACCACTGCATGATGATGATAATGTTGACAGACTGCATATAAAATTCGTGAAAATTAGCATTAAATCATAATTTTCATCAAGCCTGCGTTAAATCCTTCCAATGAAACATTCGAATTGAAGAAGAAAACGTTTTTACGAACAGACTGATGTGCATCTTTGACTTTTCCAGGTGAACTTTCATAAGATATATTCATTTCATTTCACGGCTCCATCAATGCTGCATCGTAAATATGATGGTAAACAGAAGTAAATTGCTCAATTACTCAAAATAAAGATGATTTCCGGAGTGATTTGAGATTTGGGCGTAATTGTATTTGTAAACAAACACGTCAATCGCCGATTTCTCGCCAATAAAAGCTCAATTTTGAAAACTAATTACGCTATGAGGTAGAGGTATGATTCTTCTATCATTTGGTATAGTTTGATTATAAGATTTAGCTTTTATTCACGAGAAATCGGCGATTGACCTGTTTGTTTACAAATACAATTACGCCCAAATCTCAAATCACTCCGGATTTGTCATCTTGCTATCACTTTGAAGACCATCTAGCACCATTTTATAGTATGGTGCGTGTTGAGTTAATCAAGTTCCGGTGCGTTTTCCATCGAAAATTGTGAGTATCAATATGTTTGCTTAAAAAAGGCCAAAATGAACATTTATTGAATATTGGCGTCCTATACAACCAATTCTCTTTTACCACCAACATGATAAACCTTTCCTAAGTAAATCCACTTAATTTCCACTTTCATCTTAGTGAAAATCGCACATATTTACCATTTTCTGAAAAATGCAGCTGCGCAGGAGGTAACCTCTCCCTGTGGGTGCAAACTTGTTATGCATAATTTGCCATGAAAACATCTCCAATCCATACCGAATGAATAACAAATAGTTTTCAAACACGTTTTCTTACACGATTCAAGCAAAAGTTTCCACGGGAAATTATTAGTTTTTCTTTATGGACCGATTTGCCCCAAAAAGCGTCTGTTTTACTTGGAAAATTGGGAAACTACCCTCCTTCTAGTAGTTCTCACTTCGAAATGTAGGTGGCGAGAGCTTGGAAAAGTTTCACTGCAAGACGCCAATAGTGCCGAGATGAGTGAAAATAATTTAATTTTGAGGGCTTTTTTTCTAACCGTGTATTTTGTTGTTGTTGTGTTGCTTTAGCGTGTATTTGTATTGATGACCCCTTGGCCGGTACTGTATTATGTCATTTGATGCAATTCCGTTTATTGTCAATTAACGCAATTCCGGTCAAGCTTTGTTTGTTGGTACAAGTTGAAAAAGAGGTGCAAACTTTGAGCGTTCTTGAGCTTCAAGATACGCATTCATTATTATTTGTAGAAAATTCAAGAAATAATGTCGAAGAACAGAGCTCAGTATGATCCAGATGCTCCTGTTGGTCTTATGCCGGTAAGTCGTATTTTTTCATTGCATTTTCCTAATTAAACCTCCATTCGTTTCTTCTCAGCTTATTCAAGCACTGATCAAGCCGCCGGATTCGACAGAACCTAAGCCAGTATGTAAGAAACCTAATCATCCGTACTACAAAAAGCCAGGGCGTGGACACAACAATGACACATGTGACGCTTGCGGAGAGGGAGGTGATCTGATTTGTTGTGATCGGTGTCCATCGAGTTTTCACCTTGGATGCCAGTGAGTAGTGGGTTAGAGTATCTAGATAAGGCAAAGGAATTCAAGTTCTCTTTCTTCCAGCGATCCTCCATTACAAGAGACCGATATACCGAATGGATTGTGGATTTGCCATACTTGCAAAATGACAGAAGCAAGTCCGTTGCTAAAGGCAGCAGATTTGAAATTGACTAAATTTGAATTACAACCAGAGCTTCGAGAGGAAACGGTAGCGGCCGAAGGTTCACAAATAGTTAAAATCAAAAAGATGCGCAATAGAAGCAATTCTCGGAAGAATTCAGCATCCAGCATTGGTACTGAAAAGTTGGCAACACCGAGAGATGAATCGTTAGATGGCGTCACTCGCTTAAAAGAGCCGGAAGATTGTTCACAGCTGACACCTTTTGATCAGTTAATTCGCGCAGCTCGTATCCTGAACCCTCGTCAGTTTGAGCTGCCCCGTGAGATGAATGTACACTTTCCATTTCCTGGCACCGAAAAGCAGGATTCAGCACATAAAAATGGAAACGGAAGAAGAGGTCACAGAGGACGGAAGATCTACGAACTAGATGGCCAAGGCTTAGTTCCTCTTCCGGCAAAGACTTGTCATGCTTGTGGTAAATCATGTCGCAAGGCGCCGTTGATCGCTTGCGATTATTGCGATTTATTCTTTCACCAGGATTGTCTTGATCCTCCCTTGACGGCACTTCCGACATCGATGTGGATGTGTCCGAATCACGTTGAGCAGTTTATCGTAAGTCTTTGTTGATTTTTTAATCATTTATCAGAACAATATTTTATGTTTTTTTTTTCAGGATTGGAAGTTGGTAAATTCTGTATCGGCAACAGAGCGTATTAAATTATGGAACCAATTTAATGCAAATATGGATCAGGATACTGTTAAAAACGAATTCTTTCGCAAGGTTCATCGCCGTAATCCACCCTTTCGTGTAAGGCAGAAGCCAAAAATGCGAGATCGAGTAGAGGTTCCACCGGTGGTTGAGTTTCACTACCAAAATCCTCCCAATTTGCTACCCTCATTGCGGGAATTGTTGCGCGCCAAAAAATATGATCGTTTTGTAGATACAGCCAAGCCGATTTACGACGACTCCGAGTTGCTATCGATGATCGATTCTGAACTGAAAGCGATCAGCACTGCAGATGAACAAATAGAAAAAATGATAAATGTGCCTGGAGGCACAGATCCAGAGGAACGTGAACAGGCAGCTGAGGAGGGCGCACCAACAAAAGCCAAATCAAGTTCGAGAGGAAAGAAACACAAGTCCTCTACGAAGAAAGATGTAACATCAAAGGCTGGCAAAGCGGGGGAAGCTGGTTCGTCCATTGTTGAAAAAGTAGAAGCCGACAAAATAGAAAGTGAATCACCTTGTAAGAAGCCAAAAGTCGAGGTCACTGATGAATTGAATGAGGAAACGTTGCAGCTTCATAAGAGTAAGTAGATTCGCATGAGACAAGCGTGAATGAATACTCGCGAATTTCATTAATATGAACAAAGATCTAATTTTGCATAATGGATCAGAGCGAAACTGCCTGCTGAGAAAGGCTCACGCACATTGTATCTTTTTGTAAAACAAGGGCCGTAGTCAAGTTTCAAAATAGAATGGGTGGGGCAAACAAGTTTTTAAGATGAAGGATACTAGCAGGCTGTTCGCCATTGGGCCGAAGAGGTCACTAGATCAAATGACACATTCTACCAGCGTGTACCAGGAATCAAAAATATTTAAAAATGACAAAATAACAAACGATCAACGAGCAAAATGATTACGCTTTGTCAGTAACGGCAACAAAACGACAATGTCCTCTTGCGTTTTTTTCATGAAAAACTCCGCCTGCTACACAGCTTGATCGGAACTGTGGAAGCAAAACGCCAAATTGTTTGTAAGCCTCTTCATAACATACGCTGGAAATGTTACACGTAAGTAAATGTGGCTGTCATTTCACCATTCCAATCAAGCTATGTCGTTAATCGCAATTGTTGCTACAAAGCTTGCAAGCAATCCTATCGTTTTCTTCCATCGGTATGGTGAAGCTATTTACAGAGACTTTATCGTGGTAGCCGTCGCAAGCATTATGTCTTCATTGTTGGTTGCTCTCTCTGTTTTGATTCCCTGACTAGGATATAGGGTAATTTACGTATTCTCGGCAACCTAAGCAGCGACCTTCTTTCTATAGCCTTTTTCTCTAAGGAACGCACACATATGCAGTATTGGTTTGTTTACAATCTTTTGCTGCCAGCTGCTCTAACAATTTCAGTCGAAAGAATTGTCAAAAACTGTTTTGAAACGCTTTTACAAAGCTCCAATCTTCTCTAGTGAGAGCGAGTATTGTCGGCAACCAGTTTTTCTTCGGCAACCGTTCCATTTGAACTGCATGTAAATCTGCTGTTCTATTATCGGCAACTCGAAATCAGCTACAATTTGTAGTGCCTGTGTTGCATTTCAAGAAAACCTTGCTAGATTGCTTTTTCTCAGTGGTAAAAATATAGTCAAATTGAAGCTGAAAGCATAAATAATCGTTTGCATGCATTCAGTGAAGTGTTTTCGTAAGAAAATCCAGTGAAAATAGTGTTTCAATTTGGGTTGCCGAAAATAGTATGTCATGCCGAAGCCGTCACTTCCCCTACATATGCACGTATTTACCTGATTTTTTTTAAAGTTTTTGTACCGCAACTGAAAAAATAATTAAAAGTTACCCTCAAATATTATTGCAGATTTGGAAAGAGAGATAAATTTCCTATAAGTAGCTCAAAATGATTTGTTGTGCGATTAGGTATAGAGTCATTTAGGGCTAAATGGGTCACGGGGCAAAATGGTAAATGATTTATTTATATTTTTGTTTATCAACAATGTAGCCAATGTAGCTGGTTGAACAAAGCAAAATATCATTGCATTACACCTGTTGCAAACAAATAAATTCATATATATATATATATATCATAGCTGACCCATATAGTTAATTGACACAATATTCAAATAAGGACTCCTTTTCATAAGCCTTTTTATAAGCAGAAAACTTTCATTGATTTACCTGACTCATACTATACATATAGGGGAATTTACGTATTCTCGTCAATCTAAGCAGCTTCCGCACTTCTATTAGCATTTTCTCAGTGTCACGCACACATATGATGTGTCTGTTTGTTAACATTCATCTGCTGCTAGCTATTCTATCCATTCCAATCAACAAAACTGTCCAAAACAGTTTGAAAACGTTTTTAAGGCGCTACAAACTTCTCAGGTGAGTGTGACTATTGTCGGCAGCCTCTTTTACTTCGGCAACCTTTCCGTTTAAACTGCGTGTAAACCAGCTGTTCTATTATCGGCAACTCGAAATCAGCCGTATTTTGATGTGCTTATGTTTCTTTTGCAGAAACACCTGGCATAACAGGTTTGCTCAGTCGTAAAAATGTATTAGGATTGAAGCTGAAAAAATAAGGAATCGTTTAAATACATTCAGCGAAGTGTTTTAGTGAGAAAATACACCGAAATTAACGTTTAAATTGTGGTTGCCGAAAACAGTCGATGGCTGCCGAAGCCATCATTTACCCTACTTTCTATACGCGGCATCGTATAGTAATGTAACATAGAATAATTAACGAAAAATTAGATGATATATATGATTCTGCGGATACAACGCATATTCGTTAAAAGGCAGGAATTGTGCATTTTGCTTCAGATTTGACTCCCAGCAAAAACAATGTGTTACACCACCGTTTTAAGCACTTGTTAGTTTCAGTGCTACAAGTATCAGTATTGGAGACGCATTTAAGAAAAGCTTATCGAATAATAGGTTTGTTTACATGCTATTTGCTTATTTTTTTGTTATAGAGGTTTTAAACATGAGAGTCAATTCGCCTATTTGCTATTTTCTGATGAATTTTACGTGTGGATAAATGTTTTCGACCATCGAGTATTTTCACCTCTCTATAAGTCTAATCTCTATAAGTCTATAGACAGTAATACCATGGACAAACTATGGCTTATATCATGTAATATAAGCTATCTTGCAATGAGCACTCATACATCTAGTTTTAACTGGAAATCCTATGTATGAGTGCTCATTGCCATAGCCATAGTCTGTCCAGGGTATAAAGCGAGTCGAAACTCACTCAGTCCAGTCAAAAAGGAAGTTACCCAAAAATGGGTGTGGTGATCAGAACACGCGAACCGAACTGTAAGCCATCTACTCAAAGACTGAGCAAGAGATAACGAAGCACATACAGTGGTGCAGCAACCGAACTCACACGATCCCTCTCCGAGAGCGTACTCACTCATCTCTAATAGAAGCATCTACCACATCCCCCTTTTCCTGGAGAAAGATTTATTAACCCTTTTTGTATAATAAATATTATCATGTATCTTTAACAACTATTTATCTCTAATTTATACTTATCTTGTCGGACTGTATCTCGTTGCTGGTTTGTGAACTCTGCCCGTTCGTCGAATCGCCCCCGAACCTGATGACGAAGCCGGTTGGCTGTGATCCACATCATCGGCCACAGGTATGATCAAATTAGTGTCCTTTACTGACTGCTCGATTTGAAGGTCGTCTCGATGTCCGTTGCAGCTATCAGTCTCTTCATTCGATGAAGCAGGCAGTAGCTTAAGGTGTGATGTATTTCTATCATAAATCCGTCCGGATTCATTTGATCGAACTGTTACATTAAAGCCTCGCCGGTCAATGACTGTACATTTCTCATTTAAGAAATTCGTAGCGAGTTTGTTTGTTGACAATAGGTTCTTCATCAGGACAGTGTCACCCACAGATATTTCACTTACTTTTGTCTTACGTCTTTTATCCTCCCGCTCTTTCCCGAGCGTTTTCATTTCATGATCTTTATCTCTAAAATCCGAGCTTGGCGGTATCGTTTACAGGTCATCTATCTGTGGCAATTTTGTATGCAACTTCTTGTTTTGCAAAAGTTCGCTTGGAGATTTCCCTGTAATAGTATGCGGCGTGTTGTTGTACACGTGCAAATAATTGTCCAATTCAGCCTTCCAGTTTCCGTACAGGGCATTTGCAATCTTCATCCTCTTCAGCAACGACCTATTCTGTCGCTCTACTTCTCCATTGGCCTGTGGCCAATAGTGTGATGAGTGGTTCAAGTGGATTCCATTGTTCCCACAAAATTCCTCGAACTCAGTGGACACAAATTGTTTCGCATTGTCAAGAGTAATGGTTCTTGGAGGGCCCCAAATACGAAAAACTCGTTTAAGCCTTCCGATAGTTTGCTGAGCCGTTATTTCAGTCATAATCTCCAGTTCCATGTATCGACTATAGTAGTCAACGATAACTAGTACATACTCTCCTGTTGGCATGGGACCCAGAAAATCAATGGCCACATCCACCCATGGTTTATCAAGAAGAGCACGTCGTGTCATCGGTTCCGGGGGATCAGGGACTTGTACCAGTCTGCAGCCTTCACATGATTCACAGATCTTCACCACGTCCTGATCGATACCCGGTCACCAGCATCGTCCCCGCAACCGTCGTTTCATCATGAACTGGCCAGGATGTCCTTCATGTGCAAGGTTGCACATTCTTTGCCGCAATGAAGAGGGTATAACAAATTTTGTCCCTCGCATTAGAAGATCATTGACATATGAATATTAATTTCTAAGTACGGTGTAAGGTTTCAAATCTTCCCGATTCCATTTTTCATTCAGAATACAATCTTTAAGCTTCTGCAACTCAGGGTCTAAATTGGTGGCCTGTACAACTTCCGAAATATCAATTGCTGCACACTCTTGAATAGCTCTAATCACTGTCTCTGTTTCCGAATCAAATGCATCCCGACAACTTTCGCTACTCAGTTCAGCTACCGACACAGCTACGACGCGCCTAATTAAAACCTCAGACTCATCAATCCATCGATTGTCTGTAACGTGAGCCGCGAGCCTTGAAAGCACGTCAGCAATATTTGCTGAGCCTTTCCGATATACTACCTGTTAGAATTTGCATGTTTGTAAAAACTGGTAATGTTTATCATTAAAATTAGTCTGTTCCTTCTTACCTTGAATTTGAATGCTTGAATACGAAGCAACCACCGCTCTATTATTGCTGTTGGGCGGGAAGTTACTGTAAAAAGGGTCTCTAACGGTCGATGATCTGTTTCAAGCTCGAAGGTAATCCCCATCAAGTATATCTTGAACCGCATACTATCCCGAGAGCCTCTTTTTCGATTGGTGGGTACGACTTTCCCGTTTCTGACAAGCTTTTTGAAGCATAACCGATTATTCGGGGTTTGTCTCCTTTGAACTGGATTAAGACTGCCCCTAATCCGACACCCGAAGCGTCCGTGACAACCAAAGTTCTATCCTTTGGATCATAGTAACCTAAATTTTCCACCGAGCCAATCACCTCTTTCAATTTATCAAATGACTTCTGATGTTCTGGTTTCCATTCGAATGGTGTATCTTGTTTTATGAGAC